TTGTTCGAATTTGTTATTCATATTTATGCTTAATGTTTATATTTGAATTATGTGGGTGGTGACATTAATTAGGATGTTTGTATTTCTAATTTATTGTTTAAATTGTGATAAAATTAATTGTTCCTAAAAAGTTTACTTATTTGTTTAAATTTGGGTCCACCGTAGTAAAAAGTTTATAAAGTTTAATTAAACCCTATTCACCCCCCCCTCTAGGGTTGTCATACCGATCCAACAATGGAGGGGTGGATGTTGATCTTCCCTTCCCTCCGGTAGGTCATCTCCGCCTGGAACTTTTGAGTGAGATCCAGTTCGGTTCGCCCGCATCATCTCATTATACATCTCCTCCATGGTGCGCACTCGACTGTGCATGTCATCTAATTCCCGCTGGAGGGTTACAAGAACTTCAGGGTCCGCGGCTGGTGTGGCCCTTCGAGAGGTCTTTCTTGAGGCCCCACCTCGACCTCTGTTGGTCTTGTTGGGCCTCGGATGTGCCGGTGGCAGGATAGTATTGGCATTGCGGGTGGACCTCCAAGGTGGCTCCACCTCTTGCCCTACCCTAGCCTGTTCTTCAGTCATCTTAGCGTCAACTTCAGGTTAAGCACCATTGTTCGCATTCTGGGTTCGCCGTTCTGCGTGATTTGCAGAATCTGCTGGATGAACCATCTCGGAGAAATATTTTAGTTGTTGGGACGACTTGTACTGTCCTCCCCACAGACGGCGTCAAATGTTTATGCAAGGATTTGCACGATGTCTATCTAACTCGAACCCGGTCCTTGCTCCGACCAGAAATGCGAAGGGAAGGCCTACACAGAGGGCAAAATCTCCGACGCTCAATTAGTAAGCAGCTCAGACTCAATATTAAGTTCGAGGAGAAATTTCATACCTGATGGTGAAATGAGGCCCTCTATTTATAGATTTAGGTTACGACAGGCGGTTACCTTGGTCAGATCTGAGGTCGGATGTGTCGGGTTTAAGCAGGTCGAACTCAGACACATTCTTAGAAATACCAAATCAACCTTTACTAAAAAGTGGCGGGCGCTCCAGATGGAGCTTCGTAAACTTGCTCCTTTGATCCCTCGATCAGCGGCGAATCCCCGTTCTCCATGTGGCGAAGGATATTTTATCCCCAAACAGGTTTGTTATCATCAAAATATTAATTAATTGCCAAAAAGCCAACAGTTCCCATAACATGATCTGTGTAGCAAGTGCTTTATCTAGACGTACTGGATAGAAGCGGACTCTCGTTCCTTTTCGAGAGTAGATTAGTTGCATGACTATTCGAGGCAAGATACAAGTGACACTTTGTTTGAGGGAAGGATTGTTGGGTTGCAAGATATACAAACAAAGTTTCACATTGGCTACAGAACGGGTGATCCATGCTAAATAAGAGAGTATTATAAGAAAGGACAATTATCTCTATTGGTTTGAGGTATTTTGGGTGAAACCAAAAGTAAAGTCGTGAGCGCTATGCTGAATCCCGCGGCGGAAGCGCATGAACGTTTGTGCTTTGATTTTATTTCAGAAATTCAACAAAGAAAAGACAAAAACAATGAAAATAAGGAGATGTAGAGTAACCTACTTTTGAAGATCGTTCTTCTCCGTAGTTCAACGACACCACCAACAAGTCTTCCTCGCTATTCTCTAGGGAATGATAGATTTGTGGGAAACGTCTTTTTGAAAGCTTAGAGGAAATTTGAGAGAGAGCTTTTGAGAGAATTTGTTCAACCATTCCAAAATGCAACATTTTGCATTTTATAGAGAATAAGAGGAGTGGGGAGGGAGTAATTTCTCCACTTAACAACTTCTCACCTCTTTGCAAAATAAATTTTAATTTAATTTAATTAATTAGCTATTAAACTAATTAAATATCATATATTTAATTAAAGCTTTATTCGAATCATATTCGAATGTATATCTCTCAAACATATAGTTTGTGAATCTCATTCATATTAATTTTAACCTATAGTTTTAATATGAATCCAATTCATATTAATTATTATTTGAATCTTATTCGAATATAGTGACTCTCAAAATATATGGTCTAATTATGAATGTCATTTATAATTATCTGACATGTATGATTTTGTGTTCGTCTGCTTTGCCAGAGCTCTGTTTCAATCCTCTTCCGCGGCGAAAACGCCGCCCTCCCTCCAACTTCGACTTCTACGTTTTAATTTTTTTTAGTACAACAATTTGCAGATATAGAGGATTGAACTTCCGACTTTGAGGAGAGGAATACATGTCAATTACTGCTAAGTTATGCTCATGTTGGCGAGTTTATCTTTTGAATCGATTCTTTTTTATATGATTTTTCATTATAGTAATCTATGTTTAGATTTGGAGAACATCATATTTTATATTAAATATTTTACAAAAATCCCATATTAATTTATTCTATCAGATTCTTTTTACCACAATAAGTGGAAGTAGAGTTCGAACTACACTGTATTAACAATGTATTAACTAATGGAGCTAGACACATTTATTTTATAAAATTAGTATAAACTAATTAATCTAACTTTTACTCACAAATTTTTAATTACATTGTATTGGATCCAGAAGATAAGATTAGTGTTACAATTTTTTTTTTCTTTTTTTACTTTGCACAATTTTCGCAATAATTCACTTACTAGTTTATATTTTTAAAGGATAACATAGAATATGAAAAAGGAAAATCAATAATTTCAGTGAAAATAAGATCGGTAGAAATTAACTTTGATAAGATGCAAAAATTAACTATTTATGATGATAATTAACTATTGCATTTTTGATAAAATGCAAAAATTGAGTGAATTAACTTTGATAAAATGCAAAAAATTAACTATCAGTGAAATTAATAACTCTCCTAAAATTCACAAATTTCTAAAGAAGAAACTAGCTCCAATGTTTTATTTGTGGTGATGATTCTTAAGCCCCTCGAAAATTGAAACCTAAAAAATTAGATTTTTTGCCAATGCAAACATCAATAATACTTTAAATTCTATCTGTAAAATTTAAAGTTGGTTAAAATACTAGTTTGGTCCCTGTGCTTTCAGCTTTGGTTCATTTTAGTCCTTATACTTTTAAAATATTCGTTTTGGTCCCTCTACTTTTTCCTTTAGTTCATTTTAGTCCATATACTTGAAAAATGTTCATTTTGATCTTTGTACTTTAAAAAATGACCATTTTGGTCTTTTCATTATTTTATTTTAAATCTCATTTTTTCTATCACAATTTCAACACCACATTACAATAATATAATCAATATATTTCTTGCCATGTAAACATTACTTTATACTAAATAGTTTCTTTTATGTGTAAAATTTGTGTTAAAATCGTACGAAGAGGGACCAAAATGATCACTTTTTAAAAGTATAGGGATTTAAATAAACATTTTCAAAGTACAAGACTAAAATAAACCAAAGTTAAAAAGTACATGGGTCAAAATGAACATTTTCAAAGTACATGGACTAAAATGAACCAAAGCTAAAAATACAGGGACTAAAATAGTATTTTATCTTTTAAAGTTATTCAACATGGTACCAATTTTATCTTTTTATTTACTTTTGACAAATTTGATACAATACTTAATTAAATTCCATCGGTACAAGTACCTATTTTACTTTCTTTTTATTTTTCCTTAACAAAGTTCTGTTACAATGCAGGACCACGTTGGTTAGAGAAGATGTGGTGATAGAACTACGAGACCTTTTGGGTTTAGAAGTTGTTAAAATTAAAGAAATAGATTTAAAGAGTCTTTCTCGTTAATRAAACTAGATTAGGGAAATTAGTTTCTTAATAAGTGGAGAATTAATTGTGTTAAGCAAAAGATAGTTATGACATATAATTTATTAGACTTATAGATTAATTGTCTATTCAATCTTTGTGTCTAATTTATCTGCTTGTAAATTCAGTAGAACTCTATTATCATAGATTTTTCTCCTTGATTTTATTATTTGGGTTGCCTTTCTTAATTGATTTTAAAACCCGTTGATATTTCTCTAAAGAAAATTTGGCATTAGTATTTATGGTATTTGAGTGGACTAGAAATACTGAATCAAATGGACAATATCGATATTTACTTAATTACTACTTTAATTAAAACTTTAAGTACACCTGCAGCAATCAATTTTCATTACAATCTTTTGGCATCATTGTCGGGTTGACAATTATTTAATTTTACTTGATACTGTGAAGAATTTGTATGGTCTTACTTTATAAGTTTTTGTTATTTATTTATTTATTTTATCATGAATTGTTTTGTCCATTCCAGGAATTGATTTTGTATGTACAAAGTAAAAAGAAAAAAAAAACAATTATAGTTCCCTTTGATCTTGAAATTGAGAAAACCTAAAGAAGAAATTGAGAAAAAAATATATATAAAATTTTGTCCTAAACTAAATTATTAGCTTTAAGTTTTTCTAGAAAACTAGATATAAGAACTAAAATAGAAATTAATTGAATCAAATACTATATCGTGAGATGATATTAGAATATGAATTCAGCTCCTAGGGCTTTCTCTCTTTGCTCTTATGGCAGATCCAGAATTTTTTCCGAGGGCTTTATATAAAATTAAGTAAATATGTTCTACGAATTTGGTGTCCAAAATTTTATGTTAGGTGACAATACTTCATTGTGATTACGGCTTAATATTTAATCATATGAATTAAAGAAATCTCTTACTTAATATTTCACAATATATCATGATCAATTATCAAACTAAAAAGATATTCTCGTTGGATCATCAAATATTTTTTGTCCGTTGGGAAATTCCAGTTTTGGAAGCTTTCAGACACAATACAACTTCCAGACCAAAAATTCCATAATGGAGATGTTTTGAATGTGTATTATTAATTCTTAATTAAAAAAAAACTTTCCAAATTCGAAAATGATGTTTTGAATTATATATGGAACATAATGTTGGTGTTAATTTAATTCGAAGCTGTGTATAAATAGAAAAGGAAAAAAGAAGAGCTAATTAGGATCAAACTCAGTTGTTCATCAAAATCGAAATCGAAATCATGTCGGAATTATCTCCACAGCCGCCGCTTGACGCCGTCGACGACGCTATCTTTGCACTTCCGGTTGCCATCGTCCTCTTTATTTGTATACTCTACTACGTGGTTCAAACCCTTTGTTGTAAAGAACGGGAAGCTGGAGAAATATTGCCGGTGACGGCGCCGCCGGAGATCGTACCGGCACAGATAAGGCCCCTGTTATTTGAGGCCTCGGAGTTCACTGACGGCGGCGGCGGCGAATGTGTGATTTGCCTGTGCGGATATGAAGAAGGGGAGAAGTGGCTGAAGATGAAGTGCGGCCATATATTTCACCGGAGCTGTATTGAGCGGTGGCTGATGGTGGGCCGCCACTGCCCGCTTTGCCGGAGCTGCCTTTCCGCCGTCGTCGTCCACTGCGGAGGCGCCACCGTCCCTCAAATTCCCCAAATGTCTGATCTCCGGAGAATACGAACATGATTGTATTAGTTCCTTTTTTTTTTCATGCAAGGGTTAGAATTTTTTCCATGAGATTTTCATTGATGTCACATACTCATATTGAATGCTTTCTCGGCAATCTAAGAAGAATAAGTTTAGTATAATAATTTTGCATAATATATGGTCTGTAATTCTAGACAAGATAATATATACCTTTTAAATACTTTATAAAAAWCTTTTGAAGTCTGAGAGAGGAGGCTGATTTTTTCCACGCTTAATTTAAATGGCAAATTTTTAAATTCACTGGAAAAAATTGTTGGAGATAATTTATCTAAAATATAATTGAGTGTAAATTACTTTTTGYTCAGTAAATTAAAATTTGAGTAATTGTCTATTTGGTCTCTAAATTTTAAAATCTTATCATTTTGAAACTTGACGCTAGATTTCCGTTAGCCTCAAAATAAAAATAAAATAAATGACACAATAATTGGTAGTAGGTCACCTTCATCTATCATTAGGTCGATTCAAAGAAACTAATATTTAAACATTGCCCAAATAACTCTATAGGCCTAAAATACACTTTGGACCGAGTTTGGACTGATGAATTAGCCTAACTAAATGGGCAAATTTGGATCGAGTTTGAATTGAACCATGAATTAATTTAAATTATTAAAAATCAAATTTTAATATTTTTTCAAACTAATTTATTTTTTAATTTTAAGAATTTGTGTTTTGATTCTTTTTATTTTACAAGTTTTGTTATTTTTCGAAAAGGTTATGGTGAAAATTTGTTATATCATCTTTCTATAATATAAATACAAATATAAATATATATTTGTAGTACATCGAGTTTTGGAGTTGGTTCAACGCGCTGATCTAAATACGGCTCAAGGGCCGGCCCAAAATAAAGATACATATCCGATCTAAATTATGAAGGGCCAAAATGGAACGGGTCAATAAAATGTTGACCGTTGATGGAATTTGAATCGCACTTATGTTATGTTGGATTTGGATCAATTTTTGGATTGCGAACACGATAACGAAGCTGAGCCGTATCAGTATCAATAATAAAGCTGAATAATATAAAGAATTGGAATCTCGTTAAAATGAATGGCGAAAGTTTCTTAGAATATAATTTTATTTTCTTAAAGGATATTTACGCTTAACCAAGCTCGAAGGCCCAATTAAGGGGAACCGAATGAAAATGCGTAATATAATGTTATATGTGAAAATCTTAATCAAGAAATTTCTTTATTTAATATTTTAGTTTTATTAGATATCCAATAAATAAATTAAATTTATCCAACTTCGATAATTTTTCAAGCCCACAAGTGAGGGAAGGGTTAGATATCAATATAAATCAATTAAATTTATCCAACAGATCGCTTTATAATTTATTAATACATTTTTATATGTATAAAAGAAATCCGGTCAAATTTCTCAAATTTTAATTAACAACATTTTCACAATTTAAATTGTTATTGATAGGGACGGAAATTGTACTTTTTTTTAACCATTCTTAAAATATAACATATCAGAAACTTTCCTAATTCTAAAGGGATTCCAAATTTCCCTTCATTGTCAGGAATCCCATTTTCTTTTAAATTTTGGATTCTTAGAAGCTCTGTATAAAAGAAAAATTGAGTGACCAGTTTTGATATTCATCAAAAACTCTCTTTTTCTTTCTTGGTGAGATTCAATTAGCTTCTTCAGCAAAATCATGTCATCGCCGCCRCCGTCAGTGTTATCTCCGCCGCCGATGCCGTTAAACGCCGTCAGCCACAGTCTCTTTGGGGAATTGCCAAAACACGTTCAGATTTTGTGTGTGGTTGCTATGTTCCTCCTCGTTATACTCTACGTCTTCATTCTCAGGCTCATTCTCGACAGAAGCTGCGGATCCAACGGCGGAGAATTGCCGGAGGCGTTACCGCAGAAGAGGTTGCAGATTGAAGCTCCGATTTTCGCTTACGGCGGATCGGGCGACGACGACGAAGAATGTGCAATTTGCCTTAGCAAATTTGAACAAGGAGAGAAGTGCCGCAAAATGAGTAAGTGCGACCACGTGTTTCACCGGGACTGTATTGACCGGTGGCTGAAGGCGGAGCGCCACTGCCCGCTTTGCCGGACCAGTATTTGCATCGTCGTTCACGGTGGAGACAACATCGTCCCTCCAGCCGTCCCAAATGCTTGAATTCTAAACATCGGATCAAACTGTCAAACTCAATCATTAAATAGAATCGTATGTGCTGAAATTTATGTCTGTCTTTGAATGTTATATGGGAATTGAAGTACAATTTTGGTGTAACTTTGCAACAGGGAGAGGTRACATAATATTAATATTAAAATTTCTATAAAGATCTCAAATTAATTTGTTCGATATAAATTTATATATACACATTTAAATTATCGGAAAATAAATCAATTTTTACTCCTAAACATAGCATGCATCTTATATTAATTTTTTTGACCTTTTAATTTTGCCGTATTGAATTTTAGACAATTACCATCCACTTGTTAATTTACCCACTAATCTTACGAAAAAAAAAAACTTAAAAATTTTCAAAAACTCACTGGTTTTGATGAAATCAAGTTTGACATAAAATTAGTTTTGATGGAGGAACAAAATATCCAAGGTCGTTTTTCTTTAAAATCTTATCAATTTTTGTATTTGACATATGTTTTCTATAATTCATTAAACACATATATCCGAATACTTTTTTTACCCGAATGAAAACTTACCATAAAAAGTAAAGATTGCAATACTTTTCAAGTTTAATTAAGGTAAAAATTGTAAAGCTATTATAAGTTTTAAGGTGTGGAATTTGATGAAATTACAACTTTAGGGTTAAAATCCAACTTTAGGGTGAAAATGAATTTTCTTGCTCAATTATATTAGTTTTAGGATGCCATCCAATTTTTTGTTTGTCTTCGATTTTGTAAGTYTCCAAAGTCTCTGTCTCCTCTTAGTTTCTTCCTWTTTTGAACGATGAATGAACTCCTCTGTATATAAAGTTTTCCAACTAGAAGTGTGGTCGTAGAAAAAAGCTATCAAATCAAACCTAGAAGATGAAGAAGATGAAGGAGAAGTAGAACACAGTATTATTTATGGTTARTTTCACCAATTTGGTCTACATCTACTCTTCAATCCGTATCTGAAGCTTTCACTCAAAATTAGGTAGAAAAATACGGACTAGAGAATAAAGGTGTGTTGGAGAGTGATGATAAAAAGAGTGATTTTGAAAAAAGAGATTAATTAATTTTTACAAAATCATCATTCGAGTTATACCTTAAAAATCAATTTAAAGTGAATTTAAACTTTTCTAAAATTAATTTTTTTATTTTCCAAACATGGAAGCGATTTTGATATCAATATTCATAAGTTACATCTCAAAACCAATTGACAATGAGAGGAGTAGCCCATGTCCATTATAAACTTTTGTTAGGTCCTTTTATCTTTTTAATATATGCCCTCTCAAAATCGTGGCTCTTATGACTCATCGATCTTGGTTGGATTTCATTTTTGGATCACTTGTTTGAATGTTTTGGACTCTAATACCATGATAAAATGTAAAAACAAATCTTGAATAATTGAGTGAATTTTGAATTTAGACTTAATTCATTAAACTGAAATGTATTACATATGAGCTATTTATAGATCATAGAAGCCCAGTACAAATAGACTATACAACTTTAGTGATTGATCTTTTAACTTTTTGTCATCGGACAAAGCCAAAATCACTCCTAAACATACTCTAAACAGACTCRGGTAAAACTTTTTTAGTCAAAAACCTACTGTACAAAAATTGGCTGACCTGTCAAGTTTTATCACAGTAAGTTTGGACTCATTTGATTTGACATCCCAGCTAGCACATGACATCGTCTAATTAGCCTAATGTATATTATTACTAGAYAGTCATGTAAAAGGAAAAGCATATGATAGACCATTAATTTTTCAGAAATAATATTGGCTGTTTTAAAACATTGAGATTGATTCAAATTCCCTAGAAGTTATAAGGAGAATTGATGACGAGAGTGAAATGAGGAAGGATATAGGTTGGATTGCAAACATCACCAAATGGGCGGTAAGAATTGGGTGTTTTGCCTTTGTTCACATGAGAAGAAGGGAATGAAATGAGCTTGCTCATTTCTCGTTGTATTTGTTGAATTTCTTGTTAATACATCTTTAATTAAATRATATTTTTAGCGTTTTGAAGTGTCCATAGTGTAGAATTTGAAAAAATGATTCCAACGCCTTTTGAATTACTTGAATCCGAGTTCAAACGAAGAAGTTGGACAAAAAAAAAAATTTAAAAAGGAGAATCCTTCAATGTCTTGATACGTGGACAAGCGGTGAAATCAAAAGCGACATGTGTTCTGATGTAGCATTAACTGTAATAAGGTTGCTCTCTTGAACCAGTAAAAAGAGGGTTGTAACAATTTTATTATGAATGTAGAATGATCGAATTTTTTAATTCTGGAAAAGAAGGTGCTGTATTGGTTGGACTCTAATCCGTTGAAAGAGTCGGATTCTTAATTGAATATCAAGGAAAAGCTTTGGGAGTAAACTAGGACATGTTTAGTTGAGAACGCTGTCAAATTTCTCTGGCTCTCACCTATTTAATTTTAAAAATAAATTTTCTATTATTCTTTTGCATGAAATTATAATGATTATTAATTGACACTCCTTCAATTTATTACTTGATAATCATTTGGCGGGTAGAACCAATTAGAGTGCTTTAATTTTAATTTGGTAATTTGAAGTAAAATTGATTGTTTGTAAAAAAAAAAAATATATTTATTTGATATAAATTTGTCCATCTTGAAAAAAGTTTATTAAACCTTAATTAAACGCTTTATTCACTCTCTAAAATTGAGATASGTACCAATCCTACCAAAACGAAAAGAAAAATAGAGAATATTGAGATACCGATCTTTAAAAAACGAAAAGAAAAATAGAGAGAATATTTATTCAAAATTGAGAAGGAAATTTATTCTCTTTATTATAATCAATCTTAACATAATTCAATTTGGTAAGACACTCAATTGAGAATGAATCCTATTCACATTCAAATTCAAATTCAACTATATTTTTTATTTTATATTTTTTAGTTRGGAGATCTTTTTAATAATTATCTTAATTTTCATTTAAACTAAAAACCTTAACCTAATTATTTAAATTTTGAAAGTATTATTTTACTCAATAGTATAGGATAAGATTCCTATTCACCCGAGGAAACTCATTTTAATTCCGAAAACCCTTTAAAACGTTATAAATAAGTTCATCATAATTCTTATAATTAAAATTCTCTAATTTCCATCGAGTGATCCTTTATTTGATTCCACYCTCAGAGAAAAACAATGTCGTCATCAGCTTCAGTTCCTTCAACGTCGTCGTTTCACGGCGTCTCCCAAACCCTCTTTGGGCTGCCTCAATATTATGAGTATTTGGGTGTGGCTTCCATGTTCATGGTGTTTGTAATATGTTTATTTGCTGTGAGATGGTGCAACAGAAGAAGCCACCGCCCCGAAGCCGAAGCTTTGCCGGTGAAAGATCGAGAGCAGGAGATGGTGGTCCGGGTTCAAGCCTCGGATTTCAGTTTCGGCGGTGGCGGTGACGATGACGACGAATGTGCGATTTGCCTGGGCGAGTTTGAAGAAGGGGAGAAGTGCCGGAAGATGAGTGAGTGCGGCCACATATTTCACCGGAACTGCATTGACCGGTGGCTGAGGGTGGAGCGCCACTGCCCACTTTGCCGGGGCTGCGTTTGCATCGTCGTCCATGACGCTAACACCGTAGTGCCTTCGACACCCCATTAACCCGAATTCAAAAGAATTGTTTTGGGTGTTGAAATACTCATAAATGAATTCAATTTATCAAATCCACTGGTTTAAAATTTTGGGTTGAGTAGTGATTTATTCATCTTTAGGATGTATCGGGAGATTTTGTGTTTGAATTATTGTGTTGTTGTTTCTCATTTGATACTCGTAAATGAATTAAATTTACCTAACCATCAACTTGCTTTCTTTCCTTTATTATTGATTTCCACTTGTTTGACTTTGTGGAATTTTGTTATACCAATTCAATCTAAAAATAATATTAATCAGTTTATTAACATCATGTAAAATTATTATTTTTAGTAAAAAGGTGTAAATAATGTATTTACCAAAATTGTAATCTTGCTTTTTAAAGTTTCAAATTCAAAATATGAAAATATTGAAAATTGTTTTCAAAATTTATTTGCTAGATAGATATTCAGAAACAAAATCTTGATGGCATACCAAACAAAATCTAAATTTTCAGCCAGAAATAAGTTTGGGGTACTCTTACTCTACAAACTCGAGGCTTGATAAATGCAAATAACAAAAACATCAACGTAGCATCTTAAGAAATTCAAGCCTTTACTCTATAATGTTTGAAGTGCATTGATAATATTGATCATTTATAATGTAAATAAAAGATTACATYGTTGAAGTTGAAATTTTCGTGAAATTTATACACGTTTTTGAATGATTTTTGGTAAGCGAAATAGTAGTTTTAGAATTACTTTTGCTTATTCTATCGTAAAGACGAATTTAGAGTACAGCATGAGAGGGACCTCGCTTTATCTAACTTAATCTAAATGGTTTAATATTTTTTTCGATAAAGACTTAATATCAATAGAAATGTTGTCTTTAATATTACATGTAAGGTGTTATGAGTAGATTGAGAGACCAAGAAAATAATATGGGTTGAACCACCCGAGTCAAACTAACTAGGGTARAAATGGGTAGTAGCTATGGTATTATCTCCCAACTAGTTCATCCATAACCATCACTCTCTCGGATATGTTCACTTTCTTTACTTATTTGAATTTGACATGATATCTAGGAAAAAGTTAGTATATTATTATTAGCTTTTAATATACTAACTATCAACAAAATTCAAAGTATTTTCTTAGTTAAAAAAAAAAAAAACTCTTTTACATCTTTTTGGAAACTCACTTTTTAGTCCTTGAATGACTCTTTAGTCCCTTCTTTTCCATTTTTCTAAAAAGAAAACTACTCTTTCTCACAAAAAAAAGTCCTAGCATTAAGTAGGCAAGCATAAGTAGTAGCCATCCACAAATAGATATAGAATTTTTCCTTCCTTATTTTCAYTTATTTTATTTTATTTTGATGTAGGCCTGAAAATTAAGGACAGATTGGTAAATTAACTGCTATTATAGGTATTAAACATGCAGTCATTAGAAAAAAATAAAAATTTGGTTAATGTATTTTGGTTGATTTTAGTATTTGTATTTTCAACCCCACCATTTAAAGAATTGACTATTTTGATCCCTTAATTTTATTTTTGTCTCATTGTTGCTGACGTGRYACTTACRCTCAATATATTTATTGAAATGTGTAACCATTATTTCACATTAACTAGTTTCCGCTACGTGTTGAATTTGTGTTAAAATTTAAAAAATAGCAACAAAAATAGTTAGTTTTAAAAGTATAGAACCAAAATAAACATTTTGGTAATATAGGATTAAAATGAAAAACTATAGAGACCAATGAACTAAAGCTAAATTACACGGATCAAAACCAATATTTGAAATATAGGGATTAAAATGAAACTAAGTTTGAAACTACTGACACCGTCAACCAAGCGGTCCGGTCTATTTATGTTGTGTATTGGGCCTTGGGAAGGCCCATAAGATAAAAATGGGCTGTGGCTATGAAACGAGCCCAATAGAAAACCTGTGAATGAATACTAAACTAAGAAGGGAAAAGGGAATCTCATTCCTTAAACAACTCCCACTCTTCTACGAACTCTTCTCCCTTTCCACTTCCAGTGGTATCATTTCATTACAAAGAAAACTCAAAACAAAACCATCCCAATTGCAACGTATGCGAATGGACACACCACTTCTCGACCCACCGCCACCGCCGCCCGTCTTACCGTCGAGTATCCTCTCCTCTCTCGATCTCGACTTTCTCAACATCGCGGGAATGTCCTCCCTCGCCCTCATGATCGTCTACTTCATCTACACCTGCTACGAGCACAAATACTCGCAACGGCAGACGGCAGCGGCAGCAGCGGGAGGGGGCGAGGAACGACGAGCCGCAGCCTCGACGGCGGAGATGCGCACGAAGCTGTTCCAGTACGGGGAGAGGGGCATAGAGGGGAGAAACGCCGATTGCTCGATTTGCTTGGACGAATTCAGTGAAGGGCAGGTTTGCAGAATGTTACCAAAATGTAAACATATTTTTCACAGATTTTGCATCGATCAGTGGCTTCCTAATCAGCCACATTGCCCTCTCTGTCGCTCTCCTGTTCGTGTTCGTATCGTTTATTCAAACCAATCTTGAGCCATTGTTCTAACTCTTTTTTTTTCCTTTTTTTCTTGTGAATAATTTTGTGTTCATCATTCSTGATTAACCCGTTTGGTTGGATCATAACAAATTTTGAGATTCGTTGGGTGGATTGGATGGATTGGATTGGAGAATCTCATGTTTTTTGAAACTTTTTTTTTTTGTTATTGAAAGAAGAAAAATCACATTGTATTGAGTTATATGTTATAGCAGTTGTTTATGGATCCTGTTGTTGACTAATTCTTCTATTTTGAATTTTTTTTCGGGGTTAAATTATAAATTTGGTTGTTCAGTTGAATTTTAAAAATTTTCAGTTCTATTTAAACTTTTAATTTGGTGTATTTTGTTACTCTATTAACTAGATGCTGTGTGTTAATTTAAAGTCCATAGGATTGGAAGGTTGTGTTTAATAGATTTTGAAAATTGATTTTTATTCCGGAATTTATCTATCTATGCTTTACAGCTTTGTGTACTCATCCGCTTGTTCCCGACGCAGTGGCAAGAGTCTTGAAATTTGTATTATATTACTTAATGTCATATTTCATAATTGATACAATAGGTAGGGTGGGAGATTCAAACACCTTCGGACCGTATATATGTGCTTTAGTCCATAAGCTATGTTCATATTGACATTTCGTTTTATGAATTAAATATGCATAATTTAGATGTTAAGTTTATAGTTTATAAAATTTTATTCAATATGAGGTTACCTAATTAAATCATAGAATGTAAAGATTTAACCTATTTTGAATTGATAACTTTTCGAAACATCCTTTACCAAAAAAAAAATAATAATAAAATAAAAAATAGAAACATCAAAATAGGGAGGTGTCGACAAAGATTGATTGTATTAGTTAGGCAGATTCCATACAAATTCGCAAGGATATTTTTTCGAGGAAAGTTGAGAGTGAAGATTTAATTTCATTAGACCTTTTGTTTTTTACAAGACTAATTTCATTAAATTTGAATTAATGAAAAACGTGATTTTTTTTCTTTTTAGGATGAAACTGATTTCCTTCCCTTGAGTTGTAATTGGAGATTGTATTTAGGAAAAGAAAGAGAAGGCATCAAACACAAAATTGTATATATACAGTTAATTCGAGCATATTACAATTGGTTATAAGTTAATTATCTCCAACTAAAACGTAAGGATGAGTTTAAATCTCCAGTTCCACTTAATAAACTTGATAGACTCTGATTTGGGCTATATTTTATAATAATTATATTGGAATTAATTGTTAGTTTTCGTTTTTTTTTATAAATTTACATACATAAATGTTATTTTTGTAGAAATAAGGTATCAAGAAGAATCGGGACATCAAACTAATCCAATAGAGTGAAAAGTTATAACCCGAGCAAGTTGAGAAGACCGCCCACAACATAATATGCAGTAGAAGGCCCAAGGGGGTAGCGTTTAGACGCTAACAGACTGTCTCAACTCTCAAATGAGGAAGTCCATCCAGACGACCAGCAAGGGTAGCGTTGAGACGTTACCTCAGAGCGTCTCAATGCTACTATGTTAACGCGTGTCATTAACGCTTCGCGTCGTAGCGTCTCAATGCTATGACGCCAACATACGGATTTTGCCAGTGTTTAGGTACAACATTGAGATGCTGTCCTGAAATTTTCTATAAATTAGACCTCCATGATCAGTTGAAAGGGGGATCCAACAAGGGAAAATTGGAGCATATTTCGAGGAAGAAGCTAGGGCTTGAAGATCGATTGTGGAGATTGAGTCAGTGACGATCAATCAACACGACGAATTCACTTTCTATCTCTTTTTTTTTTTTTTGCTAATTTAATCATGAACATGAGTAGCTAAATTCACTTTTCTTAAGGATTGATGTAGCCATTGACGTTTATGATTGTTCAATTTTCTTGATTGAATGCATTTGATTATTCTATTTATGTTTCTCTTTGCTTCATATCTTAAATCTACTGGCCACAGATTAATTTATCTAGACTTCCAATCTTACGCTCGGGAGAGGTGGTTGAGAGTTTAGAACTGATCGAGATTCATAACTTAACCATTTTAAGATCAGAAGATTTAGAATTCTTTTAGAGATTGTTAAAAGTCATGTTCGTTAAAGCATTTACTTGTAACAAAACTAGATAGGGATATTGGTTTAGTAATTTAGTAAGGAGACTTGACTTGCACTAGTGTAATTAAATAATTAGTTCATAGATTCAATCGGTGAAATCTATTTCCTAAGATCGTTCTTCCCATTAATTTTACATCCTAGTTTATATTATTGTTTGAATCATATTCCAACATTGAGTGATCTAGAAACTCAATCATGAGGATGATATCAGTATTGACTTACTACTTTATTAAAACTTGACCCATGCACTAACAGTTAGCAATTTCTGCTACAAATTTTTGGCACCGTTACCAGGGATTGATAATTATTTAGATTCATTCAATATCATGGAGAAATTGTTTGATCTTAATTTCGTTTTTACTTTATTTTATTAATTGT